CAGCGACTTTGTTTTTCATCTTCTTGCCCCAAAAATTCTGAAATGACACACATGAAACTGTTGAGATACAAAATGCAAGGGTTGGCAAAAAAAGAAACAAGAGAGTCTTTAAAGGGGAACAAGGCTGCATGTGTGAACTCAGAACATATTTGAGTATGTAAGGAAATGGATTTTTTTTCAGGGCTGTTTCAGCTCTGTAGGAAAATAATTTTGGCTCTGATTCCACCCTCCCCCTACCTCTCCCCCACCCCCTTCCTGCTGCCTGCAAAAGTTTATATATCTAGTGATATTATTATTATTCTGGCCCGCCAAACTTTTCCAAACTTATATAATTTGATTAAAAAAAAAAAGATGAAAGCCTTTTAGCATTTTCGCCTTCGACTTTTACGTGTCATTATCTTAGTTCATACAAACACTCCATCTATCTGCTCCTGACCCCGCCCTCTTGTCAAACTTTAGGACACATTGTGGCCTGCGAGTCAATGTTTGCCCACGCCTGTACTCATATTCTGTACAGTACTACAACAAAAATACACATTCAAGGGAGAAAACACTTATTTAACCAGAACTGTCTTCTTGTTCTTCTAGCTGTAGCAAAAAGTTTTCAAATTGAAAAAAATGAAGACGCACCAGCTCCCCCACCCTTTCCAATTCCAGTTGTTAATTCTGTTTCCTGACACGAGCGTCACTGACTAATCCCTCTGTCTCAGGTGATAACATGTCCTGCAGGAGATCGGCCATCATCAACATTTCCACGCTGTTCTCGTCTATTGAGAAATGTCCAGAGACTTTTCCCATGGCACAGATGGTTCCTTACAGGACCAGCAAGGTACGCTCTATGTTTGTTTATTTATTTATTTATAATATAATAAATTACAACTCACACTGAACTCACAGATGACCGCACTATTTCCCTTTACTCCCTTGGGTTTCACCTGCAGTGCTGCATACACTGCAGTTGCATTACTGCCACCTAGCAGGTGCATTTGCAACTGCTAAACTTCCCCCGTCAAGTGCATTTAAAAGGGGGTTAGGGCGTGGGGGATATAGGTAGAGAGCATGATCTCTGTGGATGAAGACACCACCATATACTTCTAGTGGCGTGTTAGGGATAATGTAAAATGTCAGGTGAAGAAGTTTACTAAGTGGTTTGACTAACTGTGGAAATTGAACTGGACTTTCCTGCTGCAGATGACAAAAATCAAAAAGTAAAACTGACAGTTGAGAATAATCATTTGACAGCCCTAATATATGTAAATATATTTACATATATACTTATACATTGTTATGACATTTGTATTTGCTGTTGGCCAACAGGCGGCGCTGAACATGCTGACTTGCTGTCAAGCTGAGGACTTCAAGACTCACAATATCCTGGTTGCAGGACTCCATCCCGGCTGGGTGCGGACTGACATGGGAGGAGAAATAGTGAGGAGATAAGGAACAACACTTCAAGACTCACAATATCCTGGTTGCAGGACTCCATCCCGGCTGGGTGCGGACTGACATGGGAGGAGAAATAGTGAGGAGATAAGGAACAACAGGAGAGGAATGTGTTTAATTTTTTTTTGGTTGTTTTTTAACCTTTTGACTCCTTTCTCCAGGCTCCTCTGTCCACCGAGGAAAGTGTACGTGGCATGTTGAATGTGATGTCATCACTTAGCAACAAGGACAGTGGGTTCCTTTTGGACTGGGAAGGCAACAGAATTCCCTGGTAGCAGCAACCTTCAGGTTCAGAACGGGAAAACCTTACAGAGAATTCCTGCGGATGAAAGAAAAAAATGAAAGAGTACCAGGGTGGTGCAGCCACACCAGCGCCATCTTGGACCAGAGAATACATTAAAATCTAAATATGCATTGTTTTCTTTCAATAAAATCTGATAATAATCAACGTTTTTAGAGACGATTAACCATTTAAGAATTTCTTGTGTATGATTGATCTGACTGTCTTTAAACATTCCTTCAGTTGGTCAGTTACCTTAATAAAAAGATTGTTTTCTTTCTCTACAAGTGTGTCATGTTTTTACTGCATAAAGTGTCTTAAATTCATCCTAAAAGTACAGAAAGACAAACATAACAGAAACAGAAACAAGAGAAACCTAGTATTTTTATTTACTCAATATGAAAATGTCTTCTACTTACACCAGAGTTCCGTTCCTGTGGCGCGACGTAAATTCAATTTTCGCAGTGCGTCATAGCTCACCTACTGCCATACGTACCGATGTCAGTTAGCTACGCTAACACAGTTAGCACACCATAATGTTGTTCTACATGGAAGGCTGTACAATAGATGTAACAGCACCATAACGTATTAATAAATGTTTCTGCGATTGAATATTTATTCAAATTACAAATATTGAACAACTACTGCTTGGAACTTATTAAATACGGAGCCATATAAATGAATTGGCGGGCCGCATTTGGCCCACGGGCCTTGAATTGTGATCTAGGACATAAAAACATACTTAATGCCTGGGAGCCATAACGAAGGCCCAAAAGTTCCCAAAATAACAACACAAACGGAAGTAAGCTAATGTAGCACAATACAACTTGTAAATAAAGCCGTAAAGAATGTCGTAAATAAAGCCGTAAAGAATGCCGTAAACAAAGACGTCTTCCGCGTATAGCGTACGGAAGTCTTGTTCCGTACGTCCTGGAAACGAAGCGAACTGATACAAACAGAAAACACACAAACAAACAAACAAACAGCACTGATGTCATTTTACCAGCGCACAACGTGCAAATGCAACGCAGGGATAGTTCTGAACAAACATGGCCTGACGTTCCAACGATCCCAATAATCCAGCCATACGCAAACATGAATTTATTGGCATGACGCAATCCTCTTCCTGCCTCACATAAACATTAACCTGCACACTATGTCAATGAAGCAAAGGCCTCGGGGGTAAAGAGAAGACAAAGCAGGTTTAATTTCATTTGTTGTCTTGAACCGTATTACACTCCTTTTTCTCAAATACATGCCTCTTACAAAACAACCTACGTATACATTTCCAAAAAAAGCAAGAACACTGACATGGCACTCAGATCATATGGAATAACTGCAGTTTTGGAACTGGACAGTAGTGCTGCCATCTTCTGGCAGCAGGTGTTGTCTGCAACGATGGATTGAGGTCTAAAAAAACTAGTTGAGACCCCTGCAGGAACTTGATCAGTTAAACACAGAGGCAACATGTGGACAGTATTTTAACATCTACCTTCGCTTCCCCTAAAGACAACATGCCCAGTGAAACGTACTTTTATCTTAGTTTTGTGACCTTTTTTTCAATGTTTGGCACATTTACGGTTGGCATTAGCCTGTGCTCAGGTTTTGAAATATTTTGAAAAAAAAAAATATAACATAACATTTTTAAATGATCTGTGAACTTTCTGTCATTGTCATGTTGTTCCCAGGCTTTGAACAATTAGCTGGTGGCAAAATGGCTACTAATCAACAATAAATAACTTTTGTATTTTGTATATTTCTCACACACTGCATGTTTTAATGATCTTTGTGGTTGTGGTAGAAATTTTGGATAAAGCCCCAAAAATTGAAAAACTGTTTTTATTATCATCTTCTTAATTTTTAACGGCCAGCCAGCAGGGTCTGTTAGCAAATAAGCTAGGGGTCTAAGTAAGCTTTCTGTAACAGATTAGCAAATAAGCTAGGGGTCTAAGTAACCTTCCTCCGCTGTATGCTTCTGAATTAAAATGCTTTGCCGTATTATTATAGTAATAGTATTATGTATTTTAGGCAAAACAACGACACCCATTAACTTAAGAGAGGAGCGAAACTGTTAGCATACACTGCTTATGCTACATTAGAAAGTTTAGGAAGTTGCCATTTATGGAAATTTAAATGCTAAAACTGTTTATCCTATGGTACCTTTTTTTACCACATGCTAATGTGGCTACTTCTGGATTAAAAAAAACAACTTTTAAATGTGTTAGCAAGTTATGCAAGATGTGCATCAATCTTTAAGTCAAACTTCCTTTAGGCTGTTTGTGTTTCATGAACCTGTTCACTGTGTCATGTTTTACCAGTAATGTTTACAATGACTTTTTTTGTGTTGTTCCATGTGTTTCAAGCTCAAAGATCTTTTAGTCTCTTATGTCACATAAACTATCTTTTCCATAAAACTGTTTGGGTACAGCCCCACCTAGTGGTTAGAGCAGAAATTAACTCCATATTAATTTGGCTAAATGGAGTTTTTGAAGTAAATAAATAGTGAAAATGGTAAACGGTCACATACAATTTTCATGTTGTATTTTTTTCGGTCACATGTTGCCTCTGGTGTTTGACATCAAGTGAAGTAATTAAACGCAGGTGTGGTTGAGTGTTAAAAAACATGTGCCTTTGTCTCAGGGATGGCGTAGCGCACAGGAAGTACTACAACACAGTCATACATACCGTCTGGAATTTACACAGCCATTACAATAATGATACAAGAATCAAGAGTCAGAGCCGTAATCATACAGTAAAGCAATAATTATAATAACAATTATTGATAGTGTCTAAAAACTACACTTATGTTTTCATATTTTCCTCCAAAAAAAAGACAAAAAAAAAAAAAAAAACAAACCCAAATGAGCCATATATTTATATATTTATATATATAATGGAAGTTCTGGAGTCTTAATCATTCAGATTTTCTGACTAAATATGTGACTTAAATATTTACAACGATTATTTTACAACCATTGGCCCAGCCCACTGATGAGAAAATGTTCCTCAAGTTTGACTAGAATAAAAAGCACGTCGTGGAAGAAGGTGGTGAGAATGGTCCCAGTAAGAGAAGGAGGAGGAGGAGGGAGCTGAGAGAGACAGAAGATGGATCTGAGGTCGGCTTCTTGATGCCGGGCGGGGTCTCAGACCCCTCGAGGCCAAGTGCCAAAGAGGGTTTTCCACAAGACGTGTAAGGAGCGTAAGGAATGACGGAGGCACACGGGCTCTCCCATCACAGCTGTAAGAGCGGACTTTGTGTTCAGAAGCACTCTGTGCTCCGCGGAGCTCCAGGTTCATTAACCCTGTGAAAGAGAGCGTAATAGGAGATTTTACTGCCCCAGGTGCCGGGACATCTCGGTCTGTGTCACTTTCCAAACCTCTACATCACCAGCAGTTGTCCCAGTACCATTCTGAACTGCTGCGTGTACCCTGCCAGCTCCCTCACCCTCTCAGTCATGTCTCTGGCAGCACCGGGGGAAGGATACTGAAGTGCCGCCGTCTTTGTGCTGATAACGATTTCCTTCAGTTTTTCACACAGCGCGTTGCTGCTCTGAGCCACTCGCGCCCGAACCTCCGGAGACTTGGCCTGGCGCGACAACGTGTCGCCGATGAAAACCAGCTTGTGTGCGCTGAGGATGACAAATTTGCTGTGGGCCACAAAGATCTTGGGCGGCTGGTTGGAGTTGACAGCGGTGAAGAAGGCATCGATTGCGTTGGTCACGGTGGTGACGTTCTGCTCACACTGCTCCTGGTAGAACAGCAGGAGCTGCCGGTCACCGTGACACAGTTTGGAAACAGATGACCCCCCAGAGCCGTTCTGGGCCAGCTGGTTGGTCAGAGGGTGATGTGGGGACGGGACCCAGCCCGTCATGTCGTTGTTGATTGGCCGGCTGACCTCTTGTTCTAGCCTCTCAAACTGTTTAATCTGAAAGACAGGATGGATAAAATGGTTTGTTGACATACCAGTGTAAGTAAAAAAGTACGAAGAAGAAATAAAAGAAAAAGGCTAATGACTTATTCATGTGAAACCATTTTTCTAGTCAAAATAACCATAACCCTCTGGAATTGTAATTACATACAGCACACAGAGCCATGAAAAAATACTCTTTGGTAATAACTGTGTACACACTGGTACCTGTTGCTGTTCCAGCTGTGTCTTGTTGTGCCGGATGATGTTGCCTTTCTCCAGCAGCTGTTTTTGGTTCTTCTCAAACTCCTCTTTACCCTGACAGAAAAACACATCAGCACGCAGAAAACAAAACACGTGGGACCTGACACATTTCATTGGTTTAGCTCAGTCAAACTCTTTCAGTTGAGCGCATTTGTCTCCCTCTACCGGCACACAGATGAATTGCAGACACATTGTCTAGGTCGGAGTTTTCTTTACTCTGAAATAACATTGACTACATTTTGAAGATGAAACCAAATCCCGCATTTACTACTTATATATATATACACATATATATATATTTACTTATATTTATATATATATATATTTACTTTGTAACGGCTGTCTCATCTAGATAATAAATTACAAATACAAAGGAATTATGTAAAATAAAAAGTTAAAAAGAAAAACATATACTTAACACCACCAAATTGAATATTAATTAAAAAATGTTACTTTAAAATAAGTCTCAACTGGTAACTGACTGTGACTGTGTAGTAGTACTTAAAATGAACTGCTATTATTTTTTTTGTCTTCTACTAACACATGAAACGTTACAAAATCAGGAACTAATTACAAAGAAAAGAATGAAAAAAGGCCACCGTTGTGTGTAGGTCTGTGATCACCTGTAGATGTACGTAGTCGTAATCCTCCATCCAGCCCCCCTCTGTGGTCTCATATGGCCGGTCCACACCTTCCTCCTCTTCCGCAGCTGTAAACTTGGGTGGAGACGGGAGTGGCCGTGACTGAATGTTCACTTTCTCCCCTCCCTGATAGGTTCCACTTCCCGACCCCGTCATATGGCCGCTGATCTCCCCCGGGATTGGTGGGAGCGGCAGCTGCTGCTGCTGCCTGTTGTTTCGTTTGAAGAGAAGCGAGGCGTTACCGTGGAGAAAAGAGGCGAGCTGCTTGGCATCGTCTGGAATGCCTCGCGCCGTCATGATTAGTCGATCCAAGTCATCGCCCCCTGGCTGCGGGACCGCGAGGGCCGCGTGTGACCAAGAAATGGCGTCCAAGCTCTGACTGTGTCGAACCAAACTCTGAAAGACCTCTTCCATCTTCCCCACCTGACGGCTCAGTTTAGTCTGCAAAGAGCGGTCCGTGGCCTGGCCTGCGTTGGCTACTGCCCCACGGGCAAACTCTAGGAAGTCTCGAACCGTGGCACGCACTCTATCTGCTGCCTGGTGAATGGCTGGGAGGTTCCCTTCCAGATGGTCGGGGCTTCTCCAGCTCCCTGTGATGAATGACATCATGAGGGACACGCTGGACTCGACGGCCTGCTGTAGGCGGGACAGGCGATCCATGGCCTGCTCCAGATCCAAGATCAGGGGCTTCCCTGATATACAGCCAGGACCGGGGAGTGAGGACGTAGATGACGTGTCACGGACAGGAACCATGTCCAAGGACGAAGCGGAGTGGTTACTCCGCGTGCTTCCGGTACTCGAGGCAGACAGCCGCTTGAAGGACATGGTCAGCTCCTCGCTGCCGGGCTGGGCGTCTCGCACAACCTGGGCAACACAAATTAGACAAGGCAAAAATGTTAGCAAGAAATCACTATGGTGGTCAATATAGCTAGGATACAACTTAATTATGCAAAAAAAACCAAAAACAAAATATAGCTACTTTTTAGCTAACAGATAAACTCTAGATAATTTAATTTCTATAATTTGGCCTGGAATTACAGCTAAAGAAAAGAAGAGGAGCTAAAGATGAGACTTCACATTTAGGCCATTTTACAAAAGACAGCAAAATAAGCTTAAAATTAGCTGAGAGATAAAAAAAATCAATAAAAACTTAACAATGGTTAAATGTTAGCCAAATAACTGAAAATACAGTACAGTAAACTGGAGGTTGGACCAGAAATATCACAGCCTCAAATTAAAAACGAACATTTAAAAACCCAGCAAACCTGCGGTGGGATGTCGTAGACATATTGGTCTCCTCTGTCTCCACCTCTGTCTTCCCGTTCCCGGGGAAAGTCGTAGACATCCTGAGTCAGTGGTCCGGCTGATCGCAGGCTGGCTGGGATGTCATAGATCTCCTGGGGGGCCTGACTTAATCCAGTCCTGTCTCTGTGGTAATGTTTGTCGGCCAGGATGGGCGGTGGAACGTCATACACGTCCTCAGGTATGGGTGGTTCGTTGTCATCCTCGGCGAGGTTGTTGTGCAGGTACTGGCCAGTAGGGACTTGGGACTTGAGTTTGGCAAAGTGAGGCGGTACGTCATAGGTCTCTTCTCTAACGGCCTGACCATCAGGAACGTCTTTGCTGACGGACGGTGGGAAGTCGTAGACCTGAGACGAAGACAAAAAAAAAACTACTTTCATTTTGTGTTCATTTAACTCTTTAATGAATGACTCACCAACAGGTTTGATCCAATAATGTATCTTTAAATTAACAACACAACTGTAGAGCACATCTTTGACAACCAGTCGACTGTACTGTCTCACCGTCTGAGGTGTGTTCTTGTCTTTGCTTGGTGGGGTGTCATATATATCTTGACCACTAGAGGGACCCTTTGCCACCATGGGAGGAGTGTCATACACCTATCAAACAGGAAGAGGAAAATATGGTAAATATTTACAGTATATTTAATAATATTAATATACAATATATTCATAATAATAATACATTAAGAATTAGCAAAAAATATATAAATAACATTATTATTAAATAATATGTTTAATAATATAAATATTAATATTTATAATATTTCGTATTCCTAATTCTCTGTCCAAAGCCAACTTTATAGTCAAATTGTCCCCTCAGGGGGACAAGCTCTTCTCCATAAACCCTGCAGTAAGTGTTCAGCCTTACACCCCAGTGTGTACGACAGGAGTCTAGAGAGGAATTCATCAGTGAGTGTAGCTGGAGCTGTAGTCTGAACCAGATGTGCTGACGATCTCAACCACCTCTGCAGCAGCTGCTGCCCTCCTGGGAGCTCCGTTCTACACTGTGTGTAATATAAATACAGACACGGGCGACGCAGGGAGGCTGCACGTTTATTTTGAGCCTGGCGTTGGCGTGAGGAGGAGTGAAAACTGTGAGACAATGAGATCGGGGGTTTGGAAATTTCCAAGGTTGTTTAGTTATTAGATAAACGCCACCTACAGCTGATGGTTAGTACTGTATGTGGGACTGATACAATCTACTGAGTGGTACCTTATGTTGGTTTGGTGAGTGTGCAGTGATAAGTAGTCAAATAGGTTAGTTGGCTGATGGATAGGTGAGTGGGTAGGGAAACTCTTTGGTTGGTTAAAGAGTTCATTAGCTGGTGTGTCGGTTGGTGGATTTGAAGGTGGACCTGTGATTGGTAGGTTGAGTGAGTGGATGTTGGTTGGTTAGATAGTTAATTAGTCAATATGTTGGTGGTAAATAGTCTATTAGTGGGTTTGTGGTCGATTGATGGAAAAGAAAATTGGCTAGTTAGTTTATTAATGGTTTTGGCAGGTGTTTAAGCTGTCTGGTAGGTTGGTTGGTCAACAGCGCTGCCCCTCAGTGATCCGACCAGCGTTAATCAATGACTTTGAACGTCTTACTGCTGCAGCTTGAACGACAGATGAGTTCTTCATCAGTGTCTGTCCACAGAGCCACAGTGAGTGTGATGTACTGTGTTCCTGTGCAGCACAGAGCTGTGCTGTGATCTCACTGAGAGCGAGTGTGATTGCCTGTAATGGTCAGAGCCATCCACCGTGAGCCATCTCCCACACAGCCGACATTTTGATGAAGTGCCTTGTGTTGCGGAGCGTTCATTCTTCACTTCTCAGATTGCCAACTTAAAAAAGCCCAGAGGCTGCATCTGTTCCTACAGTTCCACATCTCCATCGCCCCAACCTTTGTTTTTCCTCATCGTTCATCCTCATGGCTTCTCCCTTATACTCTGGTTTTTTTTTTCACAGTAAACTCTACCCTTTTCTTCTTTTTCTTTCTTCTGCAGATTTTGTTCTAAAACGACGATAACTGTATGTACTGGAAGTGACCTTTTTCTTTAGTCAAGTCAGCGACAAAGTTGTCTCACTTTAGCTGAAAACATTGATGCCAATGTTTATGTCTTGCTTTACCATCAAAAGGCTCAAAAGACTCAAATCCATGCCCACTCAGTTCAGTGATATCTTGGTAATCTTGTTGACCACTTTATCTTGCCACTCCAGAGCCATTTTTTCAAACTGGAAACATGTTTGTATTTTGTAAACTTCTCTCTTTCTCACCAAGGTCCAGAGAGGAAGAGAGCAATTTCACATCACAGCTCAGGGGAATTGTTGATTTTCCATTTGGACTTGTGAGTGAGTGCTCCAGAATTTTTTAAGTTTCCTGTGAGAAAAGGCTGCCTGTCAGCCAACCAGCTCCCAAATTCTTGCAGATTAGCAGACAAACTGTGTGACTCTCTAAGCATGACGTTTTTTTTTACATGCGAGAGCTCAATATCAAGTTTTCTTTTTATTAATTTTTTTTTACATGCGAGAGCTCAATATCATGACTAAGTTTTGTTTTTATTAATCCTTAGTTTTATTTTCATTAAAATGTTAAAAAAACACAGCACATAAATGGGTCATTTTGGACCACTGGTACTTTCACAGCATTCTGACCTGTGTGTTGTACTGTTGCCGGGTCGGTGGAACATCATATATGTCCTGCTGCGGTGGTGGAGGATGTCTGGGTGGTACATCGTACTCATCCTGGTCTGTTTTCACTGTATCGTAGACATACACCTGTCCAACCCGGGTAGGAACGACCACCTGGGAAGAAAAGGAACACAATGTTCAAATATGATTTAATTATTACACTCGGTTCAAACAGAGAAGTTCAAGAAAATTAAACTTTAGTGAGTCACACAAACGATATCATGACGTTTTAAAAAATATTGACCCAGAAGAATTATTTTATTATTTCATCATTTCAATTTATGTATTTATATTTAAACAGCGAAGTCTGTTTGGTTGCGTTAGCGAGTCATTTTGTGAACTTCCCGTGCTATGCCAGCAGAGGGCGCACAGTAACCAAAACACAAAAAATGAGGCACGTAACCTTATTAAATGAATAAAAACATAAAACGTGAAAATAAACAGAAATAATACCTAGCAGAATTGGGCAAATCACATAATTTGGAATATAAGTGGAGTTTCCACAGTAGAAACGCATGTTTTAAGAGTAAAATATATATTTTTAAATAATAACAGGTATCAGCAAATTTACGTGGACAGCATGTGTTTGATGATCGTTTTTTTTGTCTGTAGATAACATCTGATTGCCAAGTTAAAAGGATTCTGAAAATGTTCCTAAAATGAACAAAAACAAAACTCAACTACACAGAACGGCCCCTTACTCTACACCGGCCATTAAACTACCGCGAACCACCAAACGTCACTGCCGCGTCTTTGAGCGGAAGTTTTAAAAAAAATGAAGCTTTCTTTTTTTTCTTTCGTTATAAATAAGAATCGATTGTTCACAGCAGACGAACACAGACCAAAGTTTGTCCGAGCTCATAAAAACACAGACACACAGAGAGGCAATAAAAACAGAGCAGGGGTCCTGTTGTAGTCGTCCTGGGAACCTGGGCTGTCCTATTGTGTGCCTGTTTAAACTGTGCATTAAAAGGACAGAGCGTTGAGTCAACTAGCCCGCCTGGGAACGCACAACAGCTGTGGTATACAACACACACAAGTGGCCATCAAGGCTGGACTTCACTGTGTCCTGACATCGTTCTTACTGCTGAACTCTCTGATGTGTGTGTGTGTGTGTGTGTGGGTTAAAATAATGTTTGTTGTTTTATCGTGTAAATATATGAATAGATTTTTCTCCCCCCTCATCCTCACAGCATTGTCCACTCACAGTGTGTCTGAACTTTAAAAGTGTCTTTCAAACACATCTGGTTTTTTATCAGCATGAGAAAACACAACAAATACTAATTTTTGTATCCTAAAAACATAGTTTTATAGATAGTAGAGCTTCAGCCAAAGAATGACACATGATAACAAGAAGTAAGGCCAAAACTAGTTTCAAACCTAAAACTCAAATAAAGCAAATTAGCCAATAATAAATCATAAATGAGGATGTCTCAAAATAAGAAATAACAGAAACGCTAATACTAAGCACCATCTGTAGTTAATTCTAATTAATTAAAATAATTTAAACAAAGGTTAAAAGTTAAGAAAGGGTTTAAAGTTTTCCCCCCTAAGAAACCATTACCATATACGGTTAAATCTCCTTTTATATCAGGTTCTTAAAGATGGAGTCCTCAAAAATGGGGGGAATAAACAACCCAAGGGGCAACAAGATGCTAGCTCACAGGACGTAAAGTAATTAAACATTTTTCTCTTTACAAAGTAGACATACTGGGTGTATAAACTGACGAACTATTTTGGAAATGTTGAATTCCAAATATTGTTTGGAGCGATGAAGCCGAACACTACGGGTCGATGTGTCAGAATTATCGAATGACCCCGTCTCCGAGCGCTAATTAGCGGTAGCTCTCTGATAACATTTGCTCAGCTTCCAGCTGTCAGAGGTGTAGTGTGTGTGGGACGGAGACAAATGATAAAACCGTCCGCCTGACAACCTGTCTGTACTAATCTGTGTCTGCTCCACTCCCTCACTCTCCCTCGTCCTTTCCACTGTTTCACATCATAACACACGGCCACACGGGGGACGTCACTTTCCTCCCTGCAAAAATAAGAAAGTGACGGCTCCATCGAAGCCATGTGACCAAAAGGAAAACCTTTGAGGCAGAAAAAAGACTCTTTTTTATTTTTTTTAAATTTTTTGTAATGTTTCTTAACCGCGTGGAAAACCTTTGAGGCAGAAAAAAGACTATCTTTTTTATTTTTTTTTAATTTTCTGTGATGTTTCCTAATCAGCGTTTGTGTGTCTGATACATACACACACACACTCATCCATATGACCCCCCCCCCTGCCCGTCCCTCAGAAGCCCCCTTGGATGTTGTCAGAAGGCTTTCAGTAGTATTGACGACACTTGGCTAAGTGCCAGATGGGCCCTGTCACCTCCCCACCCCACAACACACACACACACACACACACACACACACACACGCAAATAAATATTCCCATCTCTGTGTGTGATTGATAACTTGAGATATTGATTGACTGTCTGTGTTCACCCTGGAGGATAGGCACTCACACACTTACACACTAATGCTAAGTAGATCTCTCTCTCTCTCTCTCCCAGTGTGTGTGTGTGTGTGTGTGTGTGTGAGGTCTAGTAATAGTAATAGCTGAGCCTTTTAATTCCTCTAGTGGAGCAGCGTTATGGATCAGTGCTCATCACCAAAATGACAACCTCAGACCCTCTGTGTGTGTGTGTGTGTGTGTGTGTGTGTCACAGCGCTCTACAACAGTGGAGGTAATCACAATATATACTGTGTCTAGAGCCAGGACCTGTAATGGACCAGCAGTTGTTAGCAGAGTGATAACAGTAATTGTTATTGTTTGACCAGTCCAGCAGGGTCTTCTTCTGTTGGCTGTTACGGCCGTTTCAACATTTTATGCTGTAATGAGGTTCAATTATGGACCTGGACAAATTTTAATTTAGAACGCATCATCATTTTTTAGAGAACTGCACCACACTACCTTAACAGGCTCATTACTTTCATCCTAACAGTTGTTAATATTACAGTCGTTAATGTTGGTGATCAGGCCTCACGCTACACCTAATCTCCCAGGCCAATATTTGAATCCAAAATGTCACGAAATGTGTCATAGTTTGGCTTCCATAATTAAGTATTAGACCTTTTTTGGCAGAAGTTCAAATCGAACTATTATAAAAGTGAAACCTCTGATGTTTGTTGGACTTCTTTAGAATTGCATTTCGCTTTGTTTCTTTATCAGGAGTCGTCACTGAGGTATCGTGACTGGTCAGTGACTGGTTCATGATGCAACCCAACTCAGGACTAAGTGATCTGGAACTTTCTGGAGGCAGATAAAGGACCTACCACCACGACTCCTTTAACTACAATAATAAAGTATTTCTTTGTACTTTACAAGAGAACTGAAACAATGTAAGTGAAGTCAGTGAAGTCTTTGACATCCACCAACATTAGTACCACTCGGTGACTACTGTATCTGGGCTCTAACATAGGCTGGACTGGATGAGACGCAGCTCGCAGCTGTGTCAAACCTTTTACCGTCCCATTTCCTTGGTATCCTAACAGAACCGCGGCCCGAGGACAGCTGTGTACTCTCACATTCACTGACCTACATATCCCAAGAAAACTCTCCTCGTGTGTGTGTGTGTGTTTTGTTCTCAGAATAAATCAGTGGCCTCATAAAAGCTGCAGCTACTCTGACCCACAGACAATAAAATGCCCTCACACACATTTGTTGGTGAGGATTTACTGGAGGGGAAGCTCCCGTACACGAACTCATCGACCAAATACTAAAGGCCGCTCACGGCACCGGCCTGGACTTTCGCTCTTTTGTTTCGTGCATATGATTACATCAGTACTTCTCAAATAGTGGGGCGGGGCCCCCCTGGAGGGACGCGGTGTCTGATAAGAGTACCACTGCTGTAATGCCTGAATGACAACAAGCCTCCAGTCACTAGGTGGCAGCAACTCATACAGTGGTTTCTAAGGATAAAAAAATATACATTATCAGGTTCTCAATAGTATTTCAATTTGTGGGGTGTGGGTCGGGGGATGTGGGGCGTGGAAACATTTCTGTCCCCAAGGGAGGGGCATGACAGAAAACAATTAAGAACCACTGGATTAGATCAAGTCAGAAGCGTTTCCTCAGCAGATGACCTTCGCTCTGAGTAATGTTACTCCCTCTTTTCCAACACCACCCTCTCCACCCACGGCTTGTCCACCGCCCTCTGCCCATCGTTCTGCCTCTGCTCTATGCAGATGAGTAAAAAAAAGAGAGAAAAAAAAAACCAGGACGTGAGCTTTGATCTGGAAACAAAAACGCTGGATGAAACGTCTCCTCGTCGTATCTGGTGAACTTCATTCCTACGTGTCACCCAGTCTGTGAGCTTCAAAATGACCAGGGTGACCGCACACGGGGCAAAAAATACACTTTCTATACGTGCAGCTGCGGCCGAGAAAATAAATCTTTCAAGCACAGATGTGCGCTTCAAAGAGAACGGGGGGTAAAAATAGAGAGAGAGGCCTAATTACAGTTGGAGGGTCAAGTGGTTTGGAATGGAGGCCGAGGCGACTTCAGCTCCTCGTCTGAACCCAGTCCACACATTTATCACAGTTGTTTATGTGAAGAAAAAAAACAACAGCAAATAAAAGACACAGTTAGTCAAATTGACCAAACATTAACCATATTAATACAGAAATACACCTGGATATGGATGCTGTGAATTAGGTTGATTAAATTAAATTAATTTGTGAAACATACAGTAACATTAACGACTAAGAAAGTTGGGAACACACACACACACACCTATAAGCAAAGTCAATGCTAAGGTCTTAACAGATTAGTTCGTGTTGGGGGGGGGGGCATCAACACATTCCATTAATGGGGCCGGATTCCAACACCACGTGGCACGCTCGGTGTGGAGAGTGAGTGTGGGGTGGGGGGTGGGGGGGGCGTGTGTGTGTATGTTTGACTTACATACTCAGACTAACTGTCTGGTGGATCTGACAGTGTATACGCTGATGATACAACTTAATTTCCCACTCAGTATGAGAGTGATTGATTTAGGGCAAAAAAAAAAGAAAAAAAAGAAAGAAAAATCAATAAAGGTTTCAAATGTAGTATTTAGTTGACACTG